TACATTTACTCGCTTCTCCAACTCCACGTAAATGTTGGGATTTCTTTGTTCTTCAATCAGCTCTAAGATATCCTCACTGGATTCGATTTTCATCTTCACAACTCGTTCCTTTCCGTCAAATACTGCCCACAATATGTACTCAAAATTACAAGGATCGGCCTTCAGTAATGCTTGAGCACGAGAAACTACTTCAGAATATATTTGTCGGCCGTAATTTATTCTCATCAGCTCTGCCACTCCACCAAGATATGAACCCTCGCAAAACGAACCACCAAAGTGCACCAATACTCTAACACGGTTGCTAGCCATTCAAATAAGTGAACAAAAAAAAAGAACTAAAAAAAAAAGAAACATAAAAATGCAGTAGATGAATGGTGCAAGCGTTAAATTGTTAGAGATCACTGTTTTTTTGCCTGCATGATAAATGCAGAGACCAAATCCTCACCTGTGAAAAAGCAGTCAATTAATGAGGTGCGCAACTTATGCGAAAGTTCTGCGAATGAATTCTGAATAGTTGTAAAAAATATGCTTTATTCGATTTGGTTATGCGATTCTTAAATATGCGAGCGAAAAAATGTCACATAATTGTCAATTATCCGGAGGGTATATGCGAAATTGTTACGCATATTAGTAAATTATGCGATTGACTTGGATATGCAATTACCAGAAAATGCGTATTCAACAAACTATGCGAAATGGATGCGAAATAGTTTTGCAGTCATATAGCCCTGCGAAAAGAAGGCGCATAATCATCGTAAATTATGCTGCATTCGATATGTATATACGATTATTAAAAATGCGAAAGATGTTCGCACATTTGTAAATTATCCGTTTGATGTGGATATACGATTAAAAAATACGAAATGTTTACGCATAGTCAGAAATTATGCGGCCGATTGGATATGCGCTGGTTCATTTGGACATGCGAGTGTAATATCGCATAGCATTTCGTGAATTCTGGGGTGTAAAAGAAGTTATTTGACGTGGTGGTGTGAAAAAGAAAGAATAGATATATAATGGGGTGAAAAAGATTTTGACCCTTATAATTATTCTACCATGTTTGAGGTATGTATTATCAGTATCCGCTCGGAATGGTCGCCGGTCTATTCTGGGTTCTAGTGGCCTTAATCTGCGCACTAGAGTGTGCACATGGTGTCCGACACTAGTATTTTGTTGGCAGATGTTCTGGTATCAGGCAGGTGATGATATTATCTCACCATCAGTATCAGATCATGATTATTCAGTACCTGTTTCAGTTCAGTTCAGTTATATATGCCATGATCATGTTATTGTAATTATTTTCACTGTTTACTTTAGTAGGAGTTCCTACGGAGCACAGTGGACTTTAGTGCTCACGACCCACTTTTATCATGTTTTCAGGTCATGCAGTCGGACCGGAGGTGTGAGACGGCGGTCGGTTCAGGATTATGCTTATAAAGTTTGAATTATGTAGGCCCTATGCTTATAAAGTTCGAATTATGCACAACGGTGCTGTTACTATCGCCCGTAGGGCGATTTACATGTTTTGCTACCACAGTTTCTGCTGAATTTTTACTATTTGTCAAACTTAGCTCTTTTGACCAGTCAGTAGACTGGGAGTTCGTTTTCTTAAAAACAGTTTGATTTCAAAGTAATTCATGTATTATGGTAACACTCCGAATCAGTATTTTGCAAACTAATCAGTATTTTATTTAAAAATGTTTGCAAAACACGCACTCTGATTTTTATTTTAAGGCGGGGTGTTACAGATCCCATTACCAGTTTGTTCTCGACTTTTGTAACATGCACTCACCGGCGTTCACTGGGGTTCAGGGCCCCCAAGCTGTGGCTGAATGGCTTCAGCAACTGGAGCGCATCTTTGACCTGCTTTTCTTACCGATGAGGTGAAGATTCGTTGTGCCACGTTCCAAATGACTGGAGATGCTAGAGCATGGTGGTCCGACTACTGGAGGCTTCGTCCTCGTGCTAAGAGAGATGCTCTAACTTTGGACCATTTGGTTGCCATAGTCAAGGATAAGTACTACCCGGAGGCTTACCGTGCTCAGATGATGCGAGAGTTCTGGGAGCTTCGACAGGGACCCCGTCCCGTGGATATCTACGAGCGCGAATTCACCCTGTAAGTGCTGAAGATTGGCAGTAAATCGATGAACCTTCTGATTTTCGCAGAGTCCAGAAATTTACGGAAGTATTTAAGGGAATTTTATTTTTGGTATGAACAAGTCTTAATTTTAATTAAGTCCAAAGGACTGATTATTTATGTTATTATTTTGGCAGGACTTTGGGATTGAGGGGGAGATACACTTTTCATAATCTAAAGAGAAGGAGCATCGCGAGATTCACCTTCCATAATCGAAGAAGAAAAAGTTCAAGAGATTTTCATTCCTTATCTGCGTTTGTCTTGGATGAGAAGACTCTCCAAAGGGTGCTGAACATAAAAGGAGGATGAGACCAGAGTTGAGGACGACTTCGAAATCTAAATTTTTTGAGTTCGATATTTTCTCTTTCCTTGAGTGAAAAAGAGTGATATTCAGAACACTTTGTAAAAGAACGTTCGGAGGTTCGTTCTTATAGTTTCGAGGGATTCGAACTAGAAAATCCACAAGGGAGTTGTGGTCGAATAAGTAGTTGTGTGAATCATTATTGAAGTAGAGTGTAGATGGAGTCTATACTGTAAACCCTTGTATGATGTATGAGTTGTTCACATTAATGAAAGAGATCCGAAGGGAGAGTGAGACGCTCTCCTGAAGGTTCAATTTTTAGTGAAAAACTGCTTCCGCAATTGTTTGAATCTTCATTACTATCTGCCTATTCGATTTACATGCAACTCTGGGTACTTGGTGTGCAAGTATCAAATTTCAATTGGCACCAGAGCAGGTTTTCGTCTTCATTACGAAAGATCCTAGGACGTGTGTTACCCTCAAATCATGAATCAGGAAAGCGGATCGATGTCCAGGCCCCCGCAATTAGACGGTTCGAACTACTCATATTGGAAGTCTATGATGACATTCTTTTTGAGATCGCTTGGAAAAGGCATGTGGGAAAGTGTTGAAAATGACTGGGAGCATCCAGTCATGCAACAAGCACCCGATCAAGGTAAAGAAACAACGAAAGTCACGGTTTCTAAACCTAAGAACAACTGGACTGATGCTGAGAAGCTTCAAGATGAAGCCAACTATCGTGCCTTGTATGCGATTATGATGGCAGTTGATCAGACAAGACACAAGATGATAGTTCATTGCAAAACTGTAAAAGATGCTTGGAGGATCTTACAACGTCAATTTGAAGATCAACGACTGTCAAAGCGTCCAGACTTCAACGGGTAACTCTTGAATTTGATGAGATCAAAATGAGGGATGAAGAGACAATTGACGTATACTATGCCAGATTCTGTGATCTGGTAAATCAAAGCATGATGCTTGGAGAAGAAATCTCTGAGAAACGTCAAATACAAAAGATTATGAGAACCGTCATTCCCAGGTTTAGAGAGAAAATCACAGCTCTTGAAAGTTTCCAAAGAGTGTCGTCGTTGGATGTTGATGAATTTCTTGGAGAGCTCAGAACTTTTGAAATCAACAACAATTATGACAAAGTCAAAAGTAAGGGCTTCGTTCTAAAAGCTGCTGTAGTCAAGGAAAGAGAAGAAAGCAATGACGATAAAGGTCCGTTGGTAGATGATAGTGAGCTGAAAGAAGCACTAGCTTTAATCGCGCGAAACTATGGAAAGATGAGTCAAAGGTTGTACAAGAACAAATTTGCTGGAAAAAAGGGGAACAATTTCAGCAAGAATGTGGTGCAGGACAAGAAAAGTAGTATGCAACTCTCAAAATCCGATTCACAACGAGTCGAGAAGGATCAATACAGGGAGTGTCGAGGCTTTGGACACTTCCAGTATGAGTGTGCTAATCTTAAGAAGAAGAACAAGTCACTGAAGGCAACCTGGGAAGATTCAGATGAAGAAGGCACGGACGAACCTTCTTTACACACAAGCAACCGACAGTTCATACCTCAGTCAAGAAGTTCATGTGTCTCACCACTTCTCATGCTCCGACCAAGTTTGAAAAAAGTTTGAAAGAAACTGAAGAATTTGAGGATGAAGCAGATCAAAATGTGTGTGTAGATCAGTTCACTTACTTGCTATGGAAAAGTGTGCTCAAGCATCTGAAGCTCTACAGAAGCTTCAAAATGAAGTGTTTAGACTTTCAAGAGCAAACAGGGTGCTGAACGAACAAGCATCCGCCTCCACTGCTACTAAAGAGCGTGAACTGGATACTGCAAAGGCACAAACCTGCATCCTTGAGAGCAGTGTCAAACTTGCTAAACAAGACGGACTGGAGAAGGCTCAGACCATTGAATGCTTGAGGACCGAACTATTCTCTACTCAGAAACTTCTTGCCGAGCGGAACCAAGAAATCTTGCTACTGAAAAATGAAGCTGATCGGCTGATGAACGAACATGCTAGCATGGAAAGCAAACTGAAGGCAAACTCTGCTGAGTTGAACCGAACTGCAAAAGTTGTTCAAAAACTGAACAAGGGAAAAGCAGATCTGAATGAACTTCTTTCCTTGGGAAGACAACATGGTGATCTTACTGGAATAGGGTACACTGGTAGGGAAGACATTCCTAAGTCCTCAACTGGAACTTCAAATACAAAACATACCGGTCTTGGATTTGGGGGCAAAAATGGAGTTGGAGGTGTGAACCTCCATGGGAGACTTCCAGAAACGTGTTTGATAGGTTTGTAAAAAGCACTGTAAGTAAACCTCTATCTCCACTATCTCCCTTGAAGGTTCATTCTCCCATGCAGAAATCTGTTAATAAAACTCACCATAACTTTGTTCCTATCTGTCATTACTGTGGTGTAACTGGTCACATAAGACCCAAATGCTATAAAATGCAGCATGATATTTTTACCGGTAATGTTAGGGGTTGGAATCAGTCTGGAATTCCAATGAAGGTCCATTCCAGGGATCTATCAAATAACTGTACCAAAACTTATTAAGTATGGGTTGCTAAGAAATCCTTCAACTGTTTTCCCTCTGTTCTGTCTCTCAGGACCTCCCTGAAAGGTAAATGGTATCTGGACAGCGGCTGCTCTAGACACATGACTGGTGAACCTTCTTACTTGATGAACATTCAACCGAGTTCAAATGGGGAAGTCACATTCGGTGACAGAGTGAGCAATAAGGTTATTGGAACTGGCTGTTCAAATTTGGGTGGAATACCAAAACTAACTGATGTGTTACTTGTTGATGAACTAAAGGCAAATCTTTTGAGTGTGATTCAACTCTGTGATCAAGTCCTTAGTGTCAGTTTCTCATGTGATAAGTGTTATGTGAAAGACAGTGAAGGTTCGTGTGTACTTACAGGTTCTCGTTCAACGGATAACTGTTATCTTGTTGATTTTAATGAAAAATGCCTTTTCTCAAATGTGAGCGAACCTGAAATATGGCATCAACGCTTAGGGCATATTGGATACTCTCACCTTGTCAAATTAACCAATGCAGGTGTAGTCAGGGGTGTTCCAAAGATTGCTGTGAAGGACCAGCCAATTTGTGAACCTTGTCAACTAGGTAAGCAAACGAGGACAACCCACAAGTTACTGAACCATATTGCTTCTAAACAGATCCTAGAGCTTCTTCACATGGATCTCATGGGTCCCATTCAGGTATAAAGCTATCAAGGTAAGAAGTATATTTTTGTGTGCGTTGATGATTTCTCTCGATATACTTGGGTTGATTTTTTGCGTGAAAAGTCTGACACATTCTCTGCCTTTAAGTCACTTTGTTTGAAGGTTCAAACTGAGAAAGGTTTTCCCATAATAAGTATTCGAAGAGATCATGGAAGAGAGTTTGAAAACTCTGAGTTTGCTGAATTTTGTGATTCTCTGGGTATTAGTCACGAGTTCTCAGCTCCTAAAACTCCTCAACAAAATGAAGTTGTTGAAAGGAAGAATCGCACTCTACAAGAAATGGCCAGAGTCATGTTGAACTCCAGAAACATTTCTTCCAGATGGTGGGCTGAGGCAATCAATACAACATGCTACCTTGTGAATCGTGTGTACCTTCGTCGAGGTATTGGTCTAACTTCGTATGAACTCTGGAAAGGTAAGAGTCCTAACCTCAGTCACTTATATATTTTTGGGTGTAAATGTTTTATCTATAATGATCGTGTACAACTTGGGAAGTTCGATGCAAAATCGGATATTGGGTTATTTCTTGGTTACTCTAACAATAGTCGAGCGTATCGTGTTTACAATACAAGTACCTCCACTGTGATTGAATCCATAAACATAATCTTTGATGAAAAAAATTCTCAAGTTAGTTCTTCTGTATCTTTTAATCAGTTTGAAACTGTTGAGGCATTGCAGGATACTCATGGTATTAAGAGTTCTGAGGACAAGGAGATAGCTGAACCTTCGGTTAGGGATACTGAAACACCAACTGACTACATTGTCCCTATGACTCAAGAAGGTTTGGTGTCACTTAGGCGTGATTCTCCATTAAGGGTTCAGAAAGACCATCCATTCGAGCAAGTCATTGGTGACATAAACGAGAGAGTGACCAGAAACTCAAAGACGTCAGTCAAAGAACTTATGGGTGTGTCACATTATGCCTGCTACACCTCATTGATTGAACCCAAGAATGCTAAAGAAGCTCTGAAAGACGAGTGCTGGATCTTAGCCATGCAGGAGGAACTGGAGCAATTCACTAGAAACGATGTCTGAGAGTTAGTCCCTGAACCTTCATCAGGAAATGTTATCGGAACAAAGTGGATTTTCAAGAACAAAACTGATGAGTTCGGGAATGTGACGCGTAATAAGGCGAGACTAGTTGCTCAAGTCTACACTCAGACTCAAGGGTTTGATTTTGATGAAACCTTTGTCCCCGTTGCTAGACTTGAATCAGTACGCATTTGTCTATCTATTGATTGTCTAATGAAGTTTATTGTTTATCAGATGGACGTGAAATCTGCCTTTCTGAACGGGATATTACATAAAGAGGCATACGTGAAGCAGCCAAAAGGGTTCAAAGATCCGAAGAATCCGAATCATGTTTACATACTTGATAAAGCATTGTACAGATTAAAGCAAGCGCCTCGTGCGTGGTATGAACGCCTTACCATGTACCTTCAGGAAAAGGGATTTAAAAGAGGAGGAGTAGATCAGACATTCTTTGCTCTTCGAACGAATGAGGACCTATTGGCTGTCCAAATCTATGTCGACGACATCATCTTTGGATCAACATCCAAGAAGTTGGTCAATCACTTTGTTAAACTTATGTCGTCTGAATTCGAGACGAGTCTTGTCGACAAACTCTCATACTTTCATGGACTTCAGATAAAGCAAGGTAAAGATGGTATTTTCTTGCATCAGGGTAAGTATGCAAAAAACCTTGTTAAAAAATTTGGTCTTGAAAATGCTAAATGTCCTCAAACTCCCATGGGCACTCATGTAAAAGTGTCCAAAGATGATAAAGGTACATTTGTTGATCAAACTCTCTACAGAATTATGATTGGTAGCCTTCTATACCTCACTGTTAGTAGGCCTGTCATTTGCTTTAGTGTTGGATTGTGTGCCAGGTATCAAGCTGCTCCCAAGGAATCACATATGAAAGCAGTCAAGCATATCATAAAGTACATTGGAGGTATGACTGAGTATGGTCTATTCTACTCTGCTGATACGAACATACATCTTGCAGGCTATTGTGATGCTGACTGGGCTGAAAATCATGATGATCGAAAGAGCACCTCTGGTGGGTGTTTTTACATAGGATCAAACTTTGTATCTTGGTTCTGTAAGAAACAGAACTACATCTCCCTTTCTACTGCTGAGGCCGAGTACATTGCCGCTGGAAGCTGCTGCTCACAGTTGGTATGGATGAAACAGATTTTATCTGAGTATGGTATGAACGTTCATTCGGCTCAACTTTTCTGTGACAATACTAGTGCTATAAATATTTCGAAAAATCCTGTCCAGCATTCTCGTACCAAGCATATTGACATTCGGTATCATTTTATTCGTAATTTGGTAGAAGATGGAATTATTGTGTTGGATCATGTACCTACAAATGATCAGCTTGCTGATATTTTCACTAACGCTCTTGATTCGAAACGATTTTTGTCATGCTCTCAAGATTTGGCGACATTATTTATACGGCGGTCGATGCGAGATTTTCACCGATTATAAGAGCTTGCAGTATATTTTCACTTAGAAGGAGCTCAACATGAGACAGCGCCGTTGGTTAGAGCTTGTCAAGGATTATGATTGCACGATCCAGTACCATCCGGGAAAGGCGAATGTTGTTGCCGATGCCCTAAGCCGCAAGGTGAAGGGTGACTTGACATATGTTGTTACTCAGCAGAGCCAGTTGATTTAGGAGTTCGCCCGGATGCAAATTCAGGTGGTGGATGCACTTTCTACAGCCACTACAGGGAGTGTCAGTTCCATGCAGGTTCAGCCGATGCTGAGAGAGAGAATCCGGCATGAGCAGGCTTCAGATGAGTTTATTCGTGCGATTGATGCCAAAGTTTGCGCCGGAGGCGTCAAGGGTTTTCACCGAGGCACATATGGGGCCTTGGAGTTTCGTGGCAGGATTGTGGTGCCAAAAGTCGAAGCATTGAGGAAGGAGATTCTGACTGAGGCTCATACTGCACCATATCTAGCCCATCCAGGAAGCACTAAGATGTATCATGACCTAAAAAGGTCGTTCTGGTGGCGAGGATTAAAGAAAGACGTAGCCGACTTTGTGAGGAAATGTTTAACCTGTCAGCAAGTCAAAGCCGAGCACCAGAGTCCCATAGGCCTTCTGCGACCACTACCGAAGTGGAAGTGAGAGGAGGTTGCGATGGATTTTGTCACAGGGTTACTGAGGTCGTCTGAACATCACGATGCTATTTGGGTCGTGGTCGACAGATTGACTAAGGTTGCTCATTTCTTGCAGGTATCGATGAACATGTCTTTGGACAAGTTGGCTAAGATTTATACCCGTGGGATTGTTCGACTCCACGGAGTGCCTGTTACTATCGTGTCAGACAGAGATCCCAGATTCACTAGCAGATTCTGGCGGAGTTTGCACAAGGCGATGGGCACGAAGTTAGCATTCAGTTCAGCCTACCATCCAGAGACTGGCGGTCAGACAGAGAGGACCATTCAGACATTAGAGGATATGTTGCGGGCTTTGGTTGTTGACAGGGGTACTAAGTGGGAGTCGTTATTGTCGTACGTTGAGTTTGAGTACAACAACAGTTATCATTCTTCTATTCAGATGGCTCCTTACGAGGCACTTTACGGTCGTAAGTGTCGTTCCCCTCTATATTGGGACGACGTTGGTGAACGTCGAGTACTCGGTCCGAAATTGATCAAGGAGACAGCAGAGCAGGTCGAGTTGATCCGGCAGAGACTTAAGACAGCTCAGAGTCGAATGAAATCAACCGCCGATCATCATCGATGAGACATTTAGTTCGAGGTTGGCGAGCGAGCTTTTCTCAGAGTTAGTCCATTTCGCGGAGTTATTCGATTCGGGCAAAGAGTGAAGCTACACCCTCGATTCATTGGCCCGTTCGAAGTACTCGAGCGAGTGGGCGACGTTGCGTATCGATTAGCCTTACCTCCCGAGTTATCCGGTGTTCATAATGTTTTTCATGTATCCATGTTACGCAAGTACGTGTGCGACCCCGATCATGTCATTCTTTATACTGATATTCAAATCCATCCAGATTTATCTTACGAGGAGCGACCGGTAGCTGTGTTGGACCGACAGGTTCGACGGCTCCGAAAGTGTGATGTTCCCCTCGTTCGTATTCAGTGGGATCGCCACGGAGCCACTTGGGAGCAGGAAGCTGATATTCGCGCTCGTTTTCCTGATTTTCAGTTCTGATGTATATGTTCTTTCATGTTTCATGTATATATGTATCTCGTTTTGTATTTCCGAGGACGGAAATATTTTAAGGGGGGCAGATAGTAATATCCCGTCATGTGTATTAATGTAATATCATGTTTAGTTCTGAAATAGTTATTTTATTCAGCGTTATCGTTCGGAATTATATATCCAAGTCAAGGAGCTTTCGAATTAATTTTCGAATATCACGTCATGTTCGAAATAATTTTCCGATAATTAATTCATGTTTAATCTCTCGATAATTAATCTTACCGAGTTAAGTTCAATGTTCACACGCTAATGGTAACATAATTGGCCGTTGATCATGTATTAGCAAGTGATGCACGTCATGAACGCATGCTA